TATATATATATATATATATATATATATATATATATGTTTTTCACACATAATCAGCTAATTCATATCTCTATATTCTCCAGAGTTAGATTCAGTTTTCGTTATATGTGTCAGTTTTTGTTATATGATCTCTTAAATGATTAATTCAGAATGCAAATTTCAGTAAATATCATCTTATGATTTGGCATTCAGTATTGGCCTAACATGCATGGCTAAAAATCATCACTGATTGGGTAAAAATCAGAAGTTTGTCAATTCCTAAGTAAGTTGCCAAGCGACAAAATATCAATCACTTACTAAATAAGCCTCTTGCAACCACCGCTGATTACAGAAGTGATTTGATCATTCTATTGATTTCATTATCTGTTGTTTATCATATGCCAGCCACAACTTAACACTAACATTGGTTGTCAACCATTTAGCCAAGTGTACTCACTTTATGCAATTATCATCCAATTTTAGTACTTCATCTATAGCTCCCAAGTTCATTTTTAAAGGGGGGCAAACTTATTATATAAAAAATAAAATTTACAAATATTTTAAATCACTCATTCTTTTCTCATTAAGTAATGATTAATTTATTAAAGCTAAACAAAAAAAACCATAATAGCAATATAAATAATTATAATTGCTAATAGAATAGTCATAACATGAAATATATGTTAAGCAAATAAATCATTCAAAATCTAATAATTCAACATCAAATAACAAGTAAATGTAGACAGAGTAAAAAAACTTAAAAAAAATTTGGCACATTATCTGCCACTTTTAAGAATAAAAGCACACTATCAGTCATTTTTAAAAATAAAGACCTACCATTCTCCATTTCTTAAAACAAAGCGCACAATCAGTCATTTTTTAGAACAAAGGCTCAAAATGATTATATAGTAATTTTTATCATTAATTGATTTAGGTTTATGGAATAGATATATTATAGAACATGAATCATATATAATTTATTTACTTTTTCATTTTATTGATTCCTAGGAAATAGAGAACTAAATAGCTACAAATGTGACATTACTGATTCCTCACCCCCTTCTCTCCTTCCTTAGAGAAAATAAGATAAATTAAGCAATGATAAGAAAGCAATTTGGCTACAATTAGAATTTATTTAAATAGGATATAGTAAATCCACTATATCCGAATTTATTAAGTCCAGATGCTGTTATAAGATTAATTCTAATTAAATATGTTTAACATGCTTGGCATGCTATTTCAGGATTTAACAACAATTGGTTTTCAAAGAATTTAAACATGAAATATAAAGCTTACGTCACAATAATTTCTAGAATACGAAAAATTTTTTTGTGATGTGCTATGTTCAAAAGTAAAAAAATAACTTCCAAAAAATTCTGCAATGAATGAAATTAAATGTTGCAAGGACCTAAAGTGTACTGCAACTTCCCTCCCTATGTGCACTTCAACCATCTTATAAGTTAGTTTCCTCTAGGCTCCTATTGGCTCCCATTTGCCATGCTAGCATGTTATCCCACAATATGTTTGGTGGCTCTTCCTCCCATCTTTGAATCTGCCACGTGGTGTTGAGGAACTCTTTGCCCGCTTTATAAGCATATTCTTTCTCAAAACTCCATTTTTTTACCCACCTTATCCTTCTCCAATGCCTTTCTTCTCGATTGGAAACTCCCCAAGCAAAGCTTCTTTCATCCCATTGGCTTCTCCTTCGTACCTTTCCTGCTTTTTCTTCTCGTGGTGAGATTGTGGGGGGCAAATCGAAGGCACGGCTTCCGTGGGGGCAAATAAAATTAACAGGATGGCAAATAAATCTAATAAGAGTGGGTAAATCATAAAAATGCCTAGATAAATACAATTTTTTTTTCAGGAGGTGCAAATGCCAGCATAGTTTTGCCAGTTGCTATCTATCCTTTTTTTCTTTTTGCAGTGATTTTCAATTCAAGGTCAATATTTCTTTCAAGTTAATTCATCTTGGCTTTACTTTTATCTTACTAAAATTTGGTTTGATCTTGGTGGCAAAATTCTATTGTAAATTCCTTTTGTTCAGATTTTTAGTTATTTACTGACTATCTGGTTTGGTTTGGTAATTTTTAATTAGCAAGTCTGTCCTTTCTTTCAATGTCTGCTTAACATTTTACCTTTATTGTCTTTGAATATGTCCTTATCAATTATGGGGCCTTCTGCTGTCTTGACTTTTATTCTTTTATCCCCATCGTTATAAGCTTCCAATGGTTTACGGGGGCATTATTCTGACACTTGATTCTACCTTCTTTTACATTTCCATACTTTTAGTTAATTTAATCTTAGGATTTGTTTAGTTTGTTTCTCTTTAGTCACCAAATTTGTTCACTGAATTTGATATGCGGTTGATAAAAAATCAAGTTTTACATGTGTGGTGGTTATCCTCACTATCATTTCTGGCTACTTTTTGGGGTTTTTTTTATTTTGTTTATTTATTTGATGCAAGGTTAAAGTTATGTGCGACTATTCTCTATACCTTAACGTATCAACAAACCAGTTTTTTATTAGGTGTTTTTTGGAAGGTGCAGGCTGCTGTCATGATCATGATCATTTGAGTTTTTTAATTTAAATTATGTTGATTGTCTTGGTGTTTATTTTGGTTGCATGTTTTTTCTTTGTTTTACCATGAATTATTAATTGCTGATGTTCAGGTATTGCCTATTAACGTATCAACAAGCAAGTCTTTTATTAGGAGTTTTTAAATTGTTTTTAGGGAAATTTACATGCATACCACACAATTCATATGTATTACCTATCTAACGCCTAAAATTTGATATTTACATTTATAATACTTTGGTATTATAAACCTATGCATGAAATGGTGTTAAAGATAGTTGTTAGATATGTATAAAAAGCATGTGGTTATGTACATAAATGTCCTTTTTTTTTAGTTCTATTTGTTTAGTAATAATTCAAGTGCCTCTAAACAAGTCATGTAGTTCTCATTCTATCTATGCTAGGGGAGTTTTGAGGATTGAGCATGTTTCGTGAATCCATTCTTTTCTTAGCCTTTGTTTTGTTTTTCTAGGTGGAAGTTAAAAGGGCAATGTCAAGAGAAGAGCAGCATACTGGTTTTAGATCAGGGAACACCAACATGGCTAGAAATGCCGGTGGTGGTGGCGGCGGAGGTGGTGGAGGCAACTTAAGGACAAAAAAACTATTCGTAGGAGGACTCCCCCCTACTCTTTCCGACATGGAGTTCCGTGAATACTTTGAAGCCTTTGGCATTGTCACCGATGTTGTTGTGATGTACGATCAGAATACCCAGCGGCCTAGAGGTTTTGGTTTCGTAACATTTGATTCAGAGGATTCCGTTGATCGTGTGTTGCAAAAGCAGTTTCATGATGTAGGAGGAAAAGCAGTAGAGGTCAAACGGGCCCTTCCAAAAGATGCAAATACTAGCAGCACCGGTAGTCGTTCCAGCAGCGGTGGAAATTATCAGTCTTATTTTGGTTCCAGTGCAAATGCTAGTTCTTACGAGAATAGAATGGATGCCGGTAGGTACGTGCAGCCGGCAGGAAGCGGTGCAGGCTACAATCTCTATGGTTCTCCTGGTTATGGTGCTCCTGCCTATGGTTATGGAGGACATAGTGGCTACGGAAATCCGAGCGGTCCTGGAGCAGGTTACTTGAGCGGATCTTCGGGTGCTTCAAGGAGTTCATGGAATCCTCAAGCTCCAAGTGGGTATGGATCTGCTGGTTATGGTGCAGCTGGACCTTGGAACACTCCTGGTAGCGGAGGACCTGGTTCAGGACATACAGACCAGTCACCCGGCGTTGCAGCCGGCTATGGAAGTCAGGGATATGGGTATGGTGGGAACGAAGGAGCTTATAGTAATCAGGCTGGTTATGGTTCCGTCGGAGGCCGCAGTGGCGGTCTAGCTGGAAATTCTATTGGCGGCGAACAGGGTGGAAATTCTGGTTATTCAAATGCTTGGAGGGTTGATCCTACTCAGGGAGGCGGCTATGGAACTGGTCCGTTGAATGCAACCATTGGGTATGGCGGTGGATATGGTGCTTCTCAATCTAGGCAGGGGCAATAACAGTGATTTTGATGATAATGTTTCAGTTGATGAATTTATTATCTATGCGACTTTTGTTGGTTTGTTTTTTTCTGCCTATTGGAGAGAGATTTTCTTATGGATGGGTTGGAATGCCTCTTTCTTTAGTAGATTTAGTCGTTCTCTGTTTTTACTAGAATAAGTTTTATTGTTGTGTAGAGTAATATCTATAGCTCACACTAAATATTCTGCGGTTTTGTCTTGGTTAATTCTGTTATGATCTTGACTTTGTGGAGTAACACTTGCTTTGCTAAAGTTAGACTAGCTTTATGTTATTTTTTCTATTTTGTTCTGTTATTATTTGATCTGCTTAGTTTATGCTGATGAAGAAAAATATGTTAGTTACCTTTATAATCGTGAACAATGTTAAAATGGTCTTCTTGTTCTTTGCATGGGTCCTTTTTAGTTCCAGAGTTTATAATAGTGTCAATTTAATTTTCATACTCTTTTAATACGCGTTGATATAATACATACTGTGGGCCATTTTAGCTCTTCTTAAAGTAGCCTAAGGACTGTTTATAATTTTTCTGAACTCTAGAGCTAAAATTGACTCATGTAAATAGTCAGGGGACTAATTTGACACTTTACTCCTTTATAATCTTATAATTTTGGGGCAAAGATGTTTTCTTCCCTCTTGTTTTACTGATATGAATTTTATACATTATATAGATGTTCTTTTAATCCATACAAAAGAACATTTACATAATCAAAGCTCATCTTTTTATTGATTTATCTTGTTTTTTTGTTGCACTTTGGAATTCAAATTATTGGATTATCATACATTGGGAATATACTTTTTAATTTTAGCTTGAAAAAAGTTGTTTGTTAGTATTTACTTATGCTCTTTATAGCCCCTAATGTGTATTTTGTAAATCCTTTTTTAATTTTAGAGGAAAGAAATTCAACGTTAATAGTTTTTTTGGGTAGCACTTGTGATATTAGAAATTGCATAAATAACCTTTTTCATTTATAATTTTTTGCTTTAGCTGTAGTATGGGTAATGTTTTTATGCTAGATTAAGCTGAAGAATGCTTATGGTGTTCAAATAGAGGTTAGATATTAGAATTTATAATCATAAAAGCAACTGAATGAGTAATTTTTTTTTGGTTATGTATTTCCCTTCTGTACAGGAGCTGCTGTATATATATTGTTGCAAAATGTTGAGCCGTGAGTACTGTAATCATCCAGCAGGGGCCAAATTTCGCTTGCAACGAGCCAATGATCCATGGTATGTAATTTTAGCTATTCATTGGTGGTAGATAAATTTTCTTGTAAGCAATATTCTGTTTAGGATTTACGTGCATGCCATGTAATTTTCATGTATTTAGATGTCTAGCACCTAAACTCACATATACCACTTAAAACCTTTAACATGACATTAAAAATACCACCATTGTTATCTTTTTAAAAGTTAAATGCTTCTTTTCAAGCGCAAGTTTATGACACTAAGGTGTTATTATGAGTGTAAATATTTAAATGAGGTTTAGATAATGTAAAAACATAGAAATTGTGTGGTATGTGTGTAAATTTTGCTAAATTGTATGGTCAAATTCCAATTTCTCAGTTGTTATAATAAGATGTGAATTGTTGGCTTTCATGAATTTTTGTAATTATTAGAATAACTTAATATCTTGTGAAACATTGATATTATAAGTAAAGAATCTATGTTTTGTAAAATTTTATGTTTGATTTAAAATATGTATATTTGATAGAAGGCTATATTTTGATGAAAGAATATATATTTGGTTAACCCATATATGTGGATAAAAGTTCTTTAATTTAAATGAAAGGTCTTTGCTGAATCCAAATTTGTCTGTTGCCCAATGATCGGAACGATTGAAATTGGGAGAGAAATATAGAGACATAGGGAGAAAGAATGAAGGAGCGCAAACAAATTTGTTCAATGGTGGTGAATTGAGGTATTATCGGGCTTTGTGATCCATTTTATATATTATAATTGAGGGGTTATAGGAGGGAAGATGAGAGAGATCTCTCTCTAAGGAGAGATTATTGCGTGCGGACACCGCATGCATCTCTGCATGCGGTGTCCGATCCTGGCCGTAGATCACAGTGATCTACGGTCAGGATATATTTCGGTTTTTTTTAAATTTTTTTAAGTGGGGCCCACCGAAATGCATCATGACCATAGATCACCGTGATCTACGGCCAGGACCGTATGGAATAATTTTTTCTCTCTAAGAGTGATTTTAGAGAGAAGAGCCTAAAAAGACTAAAACCTAAAGAGTCAAAAACTCCCAATACATGCTATGGACCCCCTATTCATAAAGATAGAGGGCGAAGGGTGGAAACTTATAAATTTGCCTCAATTTTAACAAGGGTGTTACAGGACATTATTGTCTCTTATTATCCCTTTTGTTATTTATAACTAATCTTGATATCCTTTTATATTTATGGATATTCTGGTCGGTAGACCCACGGGTCCGAGCTATTATTAATTGATTTTTTTTTCTCAATGTCAGTTAGCCTTAGCGTGGTTGTTCTCCTTGCTTGATTATGATTTCTTAGTGATTTGTAAAGTGTTGTTGAGAGAGTCTCACATTGATACTTATGAGATTGTTGAGTTCGTTTGCCTGATTATGATTTCTTAGTGATTTGTAAAGTGTTGTTGAGAGAGTCTCACATTGATACTTATGAGATTGTTGAGTTCGTTTGCCTGATTATTTGTGGCTTTTGTAGGAGAGATGATTCTCAATTTATCTCTTTTAATATCAACCATTAGATTATCTACAGATTGTTGCAGATCATTTTTGTGCTCTTTTTGGCAGTGATGAATGTAGTCTACAACTTGCTTCTGGTTACTGTTTTATTGATTGTTGATATTGGCGCTATTAGCGGTTCTCTGAGCATATCCTGAAGGGAAATCTAATGCAGCGATTCCGATGAAGGAAAATTAATATAGGACAGATATGTCATCTCTCTCCCCGCTCTCTCTCCCCTTCTTTGTCCTATCTTTGGCTCGTATCGTATACGTTAAGACTTCAGCATAATTAATTAATTAATTAAATTTGAGCTTGAGCTTAATTTATGAGATTAAGGTGGCACATGAGCTCAATTTATTTATTGTGAGAAAAAAAATTAATTCATACTATTTTTATAATAAATATGAATGGAATGATTGGTTGGAAGATAAAATTAAAAAATTCACTTGATATGAATTTTAACATATTTTGAATATATTTTAAATTAATTATTTGGGGGCATTTTGCATGCATACCAAACAATTGTTATGTATTTAGATCTATCATTACCCTTTTTAGGAGTGAAAATCATATTTTCATTTTCATGTATGTATATGTTTATGATGCCATCCTGTTTGAGAACATAAATATCGAATATTATGTGTTAGATATGTAAATTTATAAGAATTGTGTGACATGCATGTAAATTTTCCTAATTATTTTAAAGAGGCTTATGATTTTAGCTAATCAATCTCAACTCTCACGAGTCACTTATCCGGGCTAACCAAGGCCAGCTTGGGAGCCGGCTTGGCTCAAAAGTAGACTTTTAAATAAGAATGTTCTGATTTGAATATCATGCCTATGCATGAATTAAATTCCCTCAAGTCTAATACATATAATTTAATTCAAAAGGGGCAATTACATGTAGATCACCTGAAACTTATTATTTACAAATCGCCCATCCTCTTTCATCCAATTTTCAAATTCTCGCTCAAATATCAAAATTCATGACAAAACTCAAAACCCATATGTTTCATTTTTATCAAATTTCCAATGATTTGATTGTGGCACTTGTAAATATATCAGATTAGATAGCTCAAAAAAGTTTTTTCAATGGTTTATTTATAAATATGAATGTTTCGGGCACGCATTTTCTGTCCGGACACCTGACTTACCTCTATGTGCGGTGCAAATTATTTTCAAGTTATTTCTGGATTATTTTCAATAATCCCAAAATAACCTAGAAATAACCCAAAAATAAAGACCGCAAGTTATTTTTTGGATTATTTCTGGATTATTTCGAGATTATTGAAAATAATCCAGAAATAACATGAAAATAACTCAGGAATACTCTGCGATGCACATAGAGCTACGTCAATACTCGACACAGAAAATTTTTTGTAATTTCAATTGATCAATATGTAATTATTCGCCAAAAAATAAAAAAAAAAATTTCGTGCATCGTAATTTTGTCTTCTCGTATGGACGTGAATAAATTTTCCCATAAAGAAGTCAAACCCAAATAAATTAAGGGAATTGGAATACCTCTCGTAGTTCCATTTTCACACTATCGACGATTCCCAACTGTCAGCAAACCCATAAAAATAACTCTTTTTGACTTTTTCGCCTCCGATCATGGCTATAACCACAGCAGCCAAAACAAGAAAACCAGAACTTTTCCTCCCAACCATGAAACCTAAGCCCCCCTTTCTCCTCCTCCTCCTCCTCCTCCTCCTCCTCCTCTTTGTGATCTGTGGTTGTGGTGCTCTATAAGTAATATCGTTGTTTTTCCTGTGGTGATTTTCGATGGAATGACTTTTCTGTCTCCCCCAACTCCAACGCCGAGACCCAAGCCGACGCACTTCTGCAATGGAAGTCCACTCTCCTCAACCCTACCTCCCTCCCCTCCTGGTCTACCTCCCACTCCTCTTCCCTCTGCAGCTGGCAAGGCGTCACCTGCAACTCCGGCGGCCGCATAACCGCCTTAAATCTCTCCAACCTCGGCCTCAACGGCACTCTCGACGCATTCAATTTCTCATCTTTAACCAGTCTCACCCTGCTAAATCTCAACAATAACCTCCTCTCCGGCTCCATTCCTTCCAACATCTCCGCTCTTTCTAATCTCACCTTCCTTGATCTCAGCGGTAACAGTTTCACCACCCTGCCGCCGGAGATCGGTAGCCTTTCGAAGCTATACGACCTCCTGCTCTTCAATAACAATCTCGTTGACGCCATCCCTTACCAGCTCAGCCATCTTAGTAAGATTCGTCATCTTGACATCGGATCCAATTACCTCACCAACCCTGATTACTCCAAGTTTCAGGCCATGCCTTCGCTCCTCAAACTATCACTTTCACTCAACAATCTGAATGGACAATTCCCTGCCTTCATCCTAAACTCCACCAATCTCACCTTTCTCGATCTGTCCCAAAACTATTTCTCTGGTCCAATACCGGATTCAATTGCAACACACCTGATTAATCTGGAGCAATTGAATCTAAGCGTCAACAATTTCAGAGGAGAAATCCCAGTTTCCCTGACAAAGCTCCCTAAGCTGCGAGAACTCCGCCTCGGATCGAACCTTCTGACGGGAGGAATTGATCCGGCCATTGGTACCATCTCCAATCTCCAGGTTCTGGAGCTCCAAAACAACTCTCTCGGCGGCACGATCCCTTCAACTATCGGCAAACTCAGAATGCTAGAGCATCTCGACTTAAATTTGGCGAATTTGAAATCCACCATCCCTTCCGAGCTCGGCTATTGTACAAACCTGTCATATATAAATCTCTCCGACAACCAACTTACCGGGGGCCTGCCGCTGTCTTTCTCAAATCTTACCAAGATGATGGATTTCGGGATATCGGGAAACTTGCTCTCCGGCGAGATATCACCGGATTTGTTCACCAGCTGGTCCCAACTTGTTTCATTTCAGGTTCAAGATAATAACTTTCATGGGAATATTCCGCCAGAGATTGGGCTGGCCACCAATATGACCTACTTGTTTCTCTACAACAACAAATTTACAGGTTCAATCCCAGAGGAGATTGGCAATTTGATCAACTTGATTAAGTTGGATATGTCCGAGAATTTGCTCACTGGACCAATCCCGAAAACAATTGGGAATCTGAAAAATCTGATTTCTCTAAGCCTATTCATCAATAATCTCAACGGTGTCATTCCGGCAGAGATCGGATCCATGACGGCATTGCAGTCTTTTGACATCAACACCAACCGATTTGAAGGCGAGCTCCCCAGCACCATCTCCCGGCTTGAGAATCTGCAGCTGTTCTCCGTTTTCACCAACAACCTCTCCGGCCATGTCCCCGGGGATTTTGGCCAGAACAGCTCGTTGATAACTGTTAGTTTTTCAAACAACAGCTTCTCCGGCGAGCTCTCCCCGCAGCTCTGCAGCAGCCTGAAACTCCAGACCTTGACTCTAAACATTAACAACTTCTCCGGCCATTTACCTTCTTGCCTCCGAAACTGCACAGACCTCACGCGGCTGCGCCTGGAGGGGAACCATTTCGTCGGAGATATATCTCAGTCCTTTGGGGTTCATCCGGCACTCGATTACCTGGATCTCACTGGCAATCTGTTAACCGGCACGCTCTCGCCTGACTGGGGGCAATGCAAGAGCCTCACCTACCTTCACATCGAAGGGAACAGCATCTCCGGTGAAATTCCAGCCGAATTTGGAGAAATCAGCAAGCTACAAGATCTTAACCTGGCTTCCAACTACTTGACAGGGCCGATCCCGCCTGAATTGGGAAAATTGAGCTTGTTGTTTAAGCTCAACTTGAGCAATAATCTGCTCTCCGGCAACATTCCTAAACAGATCGGCAGCCTTACCAAGCTCGAGTATCTCGATCTCTCAGAAAACAAACTCACCGGCGAAATAACCCCAGATATCGGCAATCTAGGCCGCCTTTTGCTGTTGGGAGTGAGAGGAAACGAGTTATCGGGATCGATACCATACCAGCTCGGCAACCTCGGTGCCCTGCAGATTTTGTTAGATCTCAGCAGTAACTCGCTCACAGGAACCATCCCTTCCAATTTGGCAAAACTGACGGCTCTTCAGAGTCTCAACGTCTCGCATAACTTCCTCTCCGGCGAGATTCCTAAGGATTTATCCGGCATGCTGAGCCTGTCATCGGCGGACTTCTCCTACAACAACTTTACCGGCCCTATTCCCGTCGGACCTGCTGCTTTTCTCAACAACTCTTCATTCGTCGGCAACTCAATGCTCTGTGGAAACTTGACCGGCTTGCCTTCTTGCAGTGCCTCTGGATTCGGATATCGAAAGACTGACAAACATAGAAAGCTTATCGTTGCCATTGTCATCCCGACAGCAGTATTACTTCTTCTAGCCATAGTCACAGCAGCGCTTATTTTAGTTTTCTGCAAGAAGAGGGAGAAGGAGGTGTCTGACATGGGAAGCATGAGTGCGGAGAACGGCACTGAACCGACTTCGTTGATATGGGAAAGAGAAGGCAAGTTTTCATTCTACGACATCATGAACGCTACTGACAACTTCGCCGACGTTTTCCTCATCGGCGAAGGGACCTTCGGAAGAGTGTACAAGGCAGATCTTTCTTTCGGACAGGTGGTCGCGGTGAAGCGCCTCTACATGGGAGACCCCGGCAACATCCCAGACATCAATCGGAAGA